GGAGGGGTAGGGGAAAGGGGAAGGGCTAAGGGGTAGAAATGGGATTGGGCCTAAATCAAATGCAAACATGGCGAAACGTGTGTTTTATAGGAACACAGACTAAACAAACCTTCAAATATTATGATGTTGTATCTATTTACCAGATTAAAGATAAAACACTTTTTGAAAACTTTACTGTCATTCCTTTAGCTTTACATGTATATATGTATATATATATATATATATATATATATATATATATGTGTGTGTGTGTGTGTGTGTGTATGTGTGTGTGTTTGTGTGTCTGTGCATCATTACAGTCTGTAAAAAGGGTTCATATGTGTATCTCTTATCATCACAAGACTGCAATAGTAATCAGAAGATTGATTAAATGCAAATTAAAAACAAGCAAATTAAATAACTCACATGTATCTGGTCCACTGATGAAGCCATGTGTCAAGTCAAGTGAATTATAAATCATCTTATAACAGGCGTCCAATACTGACTTCCGGAAAAGGGGAATAACCAATGACATTTGAGGTAACAATTAAAACAGCAAGCCCCGCCCCACGACTGACAAAAATAAAAGTGTTCGCGCGAGCAGGTGAGAGAAGATCGAGCGTGAGGTTGTGGGGAATTATCATGTACGCGCGAGGGCTTGTATTGCGCGCAGAGGACATGTCACTAGTGATGGGAAACCGAGGCTTTTTGAACCGTTTGAGGCTTTCATGAAATTGTGCCGAAAAAAAATATAAAATATACAAGTGTGTGATTATAATTAATAATTGACGCGAGTAGTAGCAAAAATATTTTTGGTGAGCTGTTCGGGGTCTCCGAGACCCCAGCTATAGAACATGATAAAATGCAATAGAGGTGTGACGTGCATTCAGTTTCTGTCTGGTGTTGAGGTTATTCTAAACTATTCTACTGAATCCCAAATAAGTGTACACTCACACACACACACACACACACACACACACACACACACAACCAAGTCAATGTAAAGTCAAACACAACAGTCATGCGAAGCGCCCATTTTTTTAAACCAGCTGTCTCGACCTTCCGATACTGCATGACGTTCGAAGCTTCAAACGCCATCAATCACGCAGTACTGTCATTTCGATACAAGCATCGGCACAGTGTGTGATACAATAGTGCTTTGAAAACTGCGTCGGAGCATCGGAGTCTCGGTATCAATCGTCCCATCACTACATGTCACGAGGGTTTGAAATGAGCTCGCGGGCTCCCGTTTCCTCCCGTCTAGATCTGTTTTCTTCTCGCGGTTTCTCTGATTTACCATGCACGCCAGCATCAGTGGTGTGCTCGGTTATTAATGGCATTGATTTGCCATCATAGATTTGGATCTGGGA